TGTATTTACATATTTAACACCTAAATTTTAATGTACACATCTACGGCACCTTATTCATTGGGGCATATCTCCTCTCCTTTTCTTTTAAATTTTTTTGGATAAGAGATGTCGGTTCTAATCTGATGCGTGCCTCATGGGACTGCGAGCTCATTCGCTCCTCTGATTTTGAATATATAATCTAATATGGTACATGACTCATATATCACATAAGGGAAAGATGCTAGAGCGGAACGGAGCGAGCCAGCGGAGCGAGCGAGTTTTGTTATGTGGGTGTTGCTCCCGCGGTACTGTAGAAGGGTAATTTTATAATTATATATTGTATGCCAGAATTATATACATATGATGTATTTTAACCTTAACGAAAATTTATACTCTTTTTCTGAATTTGAAGAAAGCCACAACTCTGCACCTAACGAGAATTTATACTCTTTTTCTGAATTTGAAGAAAGCCACTGCTCTACACCCAAGTATATAGGCAAATTGCCGAACCTCGTTAAATGTTTTCTTCTTGATTTATGTTGAGTCATGCGTTTTTTTGGCACTAAAATTCTCTCTCTCTCTCTCTCTCTATATATATATATATCATACATGTGGCATTAATTTTCATACATATACATAATTTTTATGTATTTGAATATCTAATACCTAAACATTCATATTTATATACAGATCACTCAATTCTTTATCATTACATAAAAAATATCATCATATATTTTTAAAATTAAAATATATATTACCATACATAAATTTGCGAGAATAAGATGCTATAAATCTAAATATCAAATATTAGATGTCAGATACATCGAACGGTTAAAAATCTAAAAAAATTATTCTCAAGTTCTTGAAATCAAACACCTCCAACTATGGCTGGCAAAACGGCTTGTTGTTCATGAACAGCTCGTGTTCGGCTTGTTAAGAAGTTCGAGCCGAACACGAACAACACGAACAAATATTTGTTCGTTCGTGTTCGGCTCGTTTTGGCTTGAAATACTACTAATCAATTATATATTTATTTTTTTGATAAGTAGTTTTTTTAAAAATTTAATTGACTACAAGGCTACAAAGATTTATAATCAATTAAAAGTATTAATGAAGAAAATAGAATAAAAATTATTAATTTATATTCAAATGATTTTTTAAATCTTGCCACAATCTTTAACATCTTATTGCTACGTGATTAGGGTTGTCAAAACGATTCTTTGCTCATGAACGACTCGTGTTCGTCTTGCTAAGCAAACGAGCCGAACATGAACACATTTTTTTAGTACGAGCCAGCCTTTTACACCCCTACCTCCAACATTTTTTCTTTACCTCTTCACCAACACACAAACTTTTCTCTTTAATTTATTTTAGCAAAATAGACCCCTTACAATGATAAGAAACGACAAACACAAACCCGCTCACGACGCAAAACAAACAGAAACAATCACATGCACCGAGCTCAAAATCAAATAGCTCCTTATTCAAAATCTACTACTGGAACCAGAACAATAAGGCAACTAAAACACAAATTATCAACTCCTGCAGCTCCGGGCTGTGTACTTCGCCGTGTCAGCCAATTCCCCCCAGCACTCCCTTCAGCTTCCTCACCTGCGCATCATCCAGGAATGTCACCTTCTCCACCAACGCCGACGGCAACGAATTCCCAAATAGCGCAAAGCTCGTAATCTGCAACCCCGGGTCCGGACTGCTAAAAGTAGCAATTGCCGCCGCCGGCGCTCCGCCGCACTGCACCTGCAAAAATGCCTCCTTTGTTATCATTAATTAACAACTTTTCCACGTTCCTTAATTTAATTAGCTTATTGAGGAACGTCACGTGCCTGGAAGTGAAGCAGGCCTTGAGGAAACACCATTATATCTCCCTGGGACAGCGTTTTATAATAGACTGAATTGGAGGAGGAGATGAAACCGGATAAGATAGAGCCCTGTGTGACCAGGAGGAGCTCGTTGGCGGAGGGGTGGGTGTGGAGAGGGACGACGCCGCCAAGGTCGAGGTCAAGGCGGGCTGCGGAGATGCCGAGGCCCTTGAGGCCGGGGACGCT